TGCCTAAGGCCCCAAACTTCCTAAATCCACCCCTGATCTCATTATTGCTCCTGTTATTTTGGCAGAAGTCTTATCTGCGGAGGTGGGCACAGTGGGTATGTTTAAACAGAACTAATGACAGTGGCAGTTGCTGTTGGATAGATGCTGATTTTGGTTCGCCACGTATCACTTTACTTGGATTTTCACTTTATTTGGATTTAGTTTTTACATATGCATAGATATACGTACAGATATATATACAGAAGAGCTATATGTGTATATACTTTATCTCTTTTTATTCTTATTTTTTATCTTAATTATATTTTATAGTTGGATGTGTGTATATATTATATAAAACTGTAACTGAAGCGTGTAACAAAAGTAATTTCCCTCTGGGATTATTAAAGTATTTCTGATTCTGATTTATCTCTAGATTTTAATGCTCTGTAGTTTCAGCCTAACAGCAACTGTTCAAAGAGAGCGTGACCCGGTGTTCTGTCAGATCAGCATACTCACTGTCAATACCTGTTTATCCGTTTAGTTTATACGTTTAGTTTTGTATGAAAAATAAACTTTTAACTACCTCCATGGTTGTGTATCCCTTTAGTCATGTAAAATAAAAACTACTAAATTACTTACTTTTTGATATTTTTTGAAGCATATAACGATCTGACCTTAAATTGTGTTTTTTTTGTATATGACTAAAGGGATACACACCTGTTGAGGTAATTTTAAATCTATTTTTCGTACAAAACTAAAAGGATAAACACAAATCTGACGTCTTGCGCATGCACATAGACTATAGGTATGCTGGTCTGATGGTGTACGCTCATCTGACAGAACACTGGATGTTAACTGTCACTGATGATGTCATACGATTTTTTGAGGCCGTTCTGACCGTGCAGATCTATCAGTGTTAATCATTGTCAGTTTAATTTGAAGAAACGTGAAAAAAAATAAAATAAAAATAGAAAAAAAATTTTGTTTTATCTACTAACTGACCTGTTATCCTGGTCACAATTTTACTCTTTGTCAAAAAGGGCAAGTATAAAGAGCCCAGAGTACATTTAAGGCCACGTTCACACTGCAGGCCTTGATGCGCAATTCCGATTTTTTTGTGAAATCCGATTTTTTTTTTTTGCGTTGCTGTTCATATTTCCTAATATATGCGACTTGTTTGTGATCTACTGTGTGAACTGCATTCATACAACGCAAGTGTCCTGCATGCGCAGCAGAGGACGCAATGACGTCACAGGCCAGCGTGCTTCGTGTTTACGGAAGTAAACGTGGATAGTAGTGCCGGTGCGCATCTAGCGATCTTTTCCAACCATAAAAACACAATCTTTTCACGTGGTTAAACATAAATACTACTCTACGCATCATCATCTGCCATGGTTGTTGTTTTTCTTTCCGCTTCTGCGTAGCAAGACTCAGAATAGTGACCTTTGTCGGGTATAAATGGCGTTCAGGTCGGATGAATCCGACCTGGCCGTTCAGAAGGAGGTCGCATTTGAAAAGATCTGATTCGTATCGGATTCAGGACCACAGAGCCCAGTGGCCTGGGTCGGATTGGAAAAAA